ACTATTTTTAAATTATTTTTTTTATTACTTTTGACAATACTTTATTTCCCTTCAAATTTCAACATACTGCTCTCTCAAAAATGCTGATGACTATTTTGAAGCCTTAACAACTATAGTATATCGGTTTTATAACGTATATTGAAATGGAGAATAGCGCAGGTCTCCCTGATATCTAGCTACGTCGAAATTCCTGCCACCGTCGGGACACGAACCCGATCAGAGTCACTCCACTGACAGTAGTTGATGTCCTGAATCACTTCAGCTGGTTTAACGCCTGGAGTGCCACAGCGAAGAATCCTTTAATGATATTTGGCAGGGGATGAAATAAAAACAATTTTTTTACCAATGATTGTATATTTTTTTGGAAGATTAAGAGCGCAAGTTATAGAGAAATATTTCAGGCTGATTTAGGGCGGATTTAAGAATGATTTAGGCAGGATGATATGCTGGAAGGCTATCATAAATGAAATGAAGTTAAATTAAATATTAGTGAGTGCAAATTTATCAAATGAGCGCGTTCTAGAAAAGCCCGCAATATCAAATATATGTTGGGAAATCAGGACAATCAGCTGGTTAAATGTTGTAAAGAATGTGATGTTTGTACAGGGAATTGTACTACATCAGAATCTGGGATGGTCAGAACATGTAAATTAATTAATAAAAACGGCGCGTAAGGCGTTGATTTTGTGATGACACGAAGGAAAGTAAGTGGAATTTGGGGGGATTTGGGGTACACATCTCTAGTACGTTCTACACTACAACAGGCTCCATATATTGGGACACGCATCGTTTAGGAAAATTGTAAAATCATGCAATCAAGAATAAAATGTGCAGCGTGTTTTTGTAAGGAGGGAATGCCCTAATTCTGGATTTATGTCTTGGAATTCTTCGGAAAAAACGCATAAAGAAATCGCGAGTTTGTGCATTATTCAAAGCAATAACAGGCGAACGTTCATGGGCGGAAATGCGAGAAAGATTAGCAAAGTCGACATACGTCGCGCGGAAGGATCATGGTTCAAAAATATAAAAAAGATGTAGGTAAATTTTCATTTGGAAACAGAACAATTCAAAATTGGAACAAATTACCTGCAAGGGTGCTGGAGATATTCCCCAACAATGTTAAACATTTTAAAAGTAGAATAAGTAAATTGTATTAGTTAGGAATAGTTTCATATTAAAATTATTTTATATAATTATTACTTTATATTAGTATGCTATCGTCAGCAAGAAGAGTGAGGAAATTAATTCTGTGAGATTGTAATAAGTAGATATGTAAGTAATATGTTTGGCCTTTTTGCGCATTTTTAGTAATTGTATTTAGGAAACACCCTTTCCGGATAAACCTGTCTATCCTATATAACATAATACATATTGTATTGTATTGTATTCTATTCTATTATCAAAAACTAGACACAAAAGGGTTAACTTGAAGCAGATGATATTTTGTGATGAAATAGTTTGGCAGGGATTTTTGATATATTTCTATCAGCTTAAAGGCAGTCTACAATATTGTAGCACCATAAGGTTGCAAAATTTTACATATACCAAACTTTTATATCTTAAGCAAAAAGATAGAAAAAGAAAAGTTGCAAATAAAAACATTTAAAGAGAAGAAAAGTTCATGTTCACCACTGATGATACAGATGGACATGTTTTAGATAATTATTTCTTAATTCTCGTTGACTTTCATGAAAATACTAGCATAGTGTTTCAAGATACGATTTGTAGTCATCATGGGATAACTTCATATGTTTTCTGTAAATATGTCGATTTTCCTTCCGCAGCATGCATTTATTGACATGACATCATGGTAACGTGCTTTCCTCGATTGTGGTTTTTGTCAGACGCTCTTCCGGTAGGCGTGTTGTAACGATGACAAGGCATTGGTCCGTGACAGTGAACAAGAAAAGCAAGGTGATTTGGAATGAGGAGTCTGTAGTGCACGAAGTGTCCGACTTCTATAAAGGTGGGACGTCTCGGGAACAGCGTTCTTTTTTTCCAAAACGGCATATTCTTATTAAATTTTAACATTATATAATAATAAGCGATGCTATACATAATTTATTTTCACGGACGTATTAACGGTTACATACTATAATATAGGAGTTTCTGTCCATATGAACACATCCAAGTAATCACTTGTAGGTTGGTTGGTTGTTGGTGATTCCGAGCGCGTACTGTAGTCATTAGTCCCGCAAGTATAGTGCATTTTTTCCTCGGGAGGTGGCGGTGATCTTCCCCCGTTTGATGGTGAGATCCGGCGCCGACCTAACGTCGGCGGGCGGGGTTTCCTCCAACCAGGTATCTCCCACCAGCAGGACACCGAACCAGTCTGGTCAAGCTCGAAGCTCTCGACTGGTCTCCCGGTATGGATGGTAGTGAAGTGCACGTTAATGTAAGTGTGTGTGTAAGGGGGTGAGGATAGGACAAGGAAGAGGAAGGAAAGATCGAGCGCGGTTTAGCCTGGTTTTAATGGAAAAAAATAAAGAAAGAAAAAAAAATAAGGCTTGTGTGTAAGTATTCTAAACGTGAAGTCCGGGGAATTGGAAGTAAGAAGAAACTGCGGAGATTGACCGCCTCATTTCGCTAACTTGACCCCGTGCTTGGCGACTCTTTCGCTCACTAAGAGTTCCCTCGTTCAGCAGCAGCGTCTGTGCGTGAGGGGACTTCCGATACTGCGCGGTTTCCGGCAGTCCGTCATTAAGCAACTGCGTTTGCGCAAGTGGTTGCGCCAACTGATGCCTCGCATATTAATTTTCAACTCTGGAGGTTCGGCCGAGGAGCATTTTCAACAAACGTCGATGGCTCATTAATGCCCAAGCTTGAGAATTCGAGGCCAGCAACTCTGACTGGTCGTGCCCAACGCGCCCTCGTCGAAATTTTAGTCCGTGTCAGAGGTGTATCTTGAAGGACCGTGAACCGCGTGCAGATACTTCCCTCCACGTTCAATCAGTACACCCACACGTAGCACCAGGCAACGAGGTGACTTATCCCCCAAGATCATTTAAGACAGTATTGTGGATGTCTTGTCAGAGCCCGACCTGGGATGTAGGGGCATGAGTGAAAGATTTCGCCACACACACGCACGCGCGCGCGGGCGCGCACACACACACACACACACACACACACACGCACGCACGCACGTACACATGCGAAAAAGGAGTACGGACAAAGAGAGAGACATTATTCATTACATCCGTCCCAAGCATTTGCAATTAATTAATTCCAAAATCTTCGACGAAAGAAGTGAAAGAACGTAGGATCCCTTCTCTCGTTAAAATTACGTTCGTTACCTTTTGAGGTCTCATTATTATAATTACCTAGGACCTCCCGGTCGGAGGCACTGCATTGACATCAGTTGAAGCCCTGAGCCATCTCACCCGGTTCCAAGAAATAATATGATACAGCCTACTGTATATAAGTTACAAGACAATGGGCACTATATAAAATGATGATGCCTACAAGATAAAGAATTTTTGAGCTGCTCAAAAATGTTTTATATGCAAAGCATCAGCAAATACATCTGAGAAACTTTTGGCATTAAACTAGTTTGTTGCATTTGTCGTAATTAATTGTCCAGAAAAACGCTAAACTGGAGTGGAAAGATCCAGGATCCGAGAAAGTTTCTTAAAAAAAATACATTACACATTATTACTTGTCATGACCACTTTTTACTGCATGAACACTTCAGGATACTGCGAGAAATATGAGGTACCCAACTAACACAACAAAAATGAGTTTTCCGGGAAAATCGCTATTTGCATAACAGATTAAGATTGAGGAGGAAAATACCTTCCACTCTTCTGCCTTTCTTTTTCCCGCGCTCCCACGTAGTACGTAAGCGAGCACGTGATTACACACTCTCGACGAATGTCACCAGATCTTTTCTGATCCACACTCTCAATTCGCTCATCTTAATAGCTATCTAATGATTTAAAATGCCTAAATAATAAATAACTACACTCATATTTAATTATTAAATAAAATATTTGGTGGAACCCGATCCACTAAACCACAAGGCACAGTAAAACTTCTTTATAGTAAAGCTCAAAGGACAATACTTTATTTCGTTTTTGATAGTTTTCGCTATAAGGACAGGTTCTAGGCAAACAACAGTAATGTTTAAATTTAAAACTTCATAACGCATCAATAATTCCACTTCATAATATCAGAATGTATCACAAGGCCGTGAGTTAAGATTAACGATTATAACCAATTCAAGAATTAAAATATAGTTTTTGAAGAACCGATTGCACTCACACCGACCGTGTTTCCAGAGTCACACCTGCTCTCTAGGATAGAAATCGTTTGAAGGGTGAGGAAGCCTTTTTGGAAGAACTTCTTTGTTTAGAGGTTCCATAACTCCACCTGAAATATTCAGTATCATTTTTATTGCTCTACAGAGGATTCGCGGTCCCATATGCACAGCCGGAAGAACTCAAGGGGTCTATCCCGCATGCGGAAGCTTTTGTTCTAGACGTCCAACGGTCACAGTAACACTTCCGGTAATGAGACAGAAATAACGAATAACCGAAAATTCAGACTAGAAACAAGTATTTTTATTATCTTTATTATTATTATTATTATTATTATCTTTATTATTATTATTATCTTTATTATTATCATTATTATTATTATTATTATTATTATTATTATTATTATTATTATTATTATAGTTATTCGAAGCAAATGGCAGAAAATACAAAAACATTAAAATAATACACTTCCACTATCTGCTGATCCATGCAATATTCCCCAATGTATTATTCAGTATTCCTATAAACAAAGAATTAAGTTTATTTTAGAGTTCTTGAGTTTTCTAGGAATATTGAAATTCTAATTCACTTCTTAATCAAACGAACTCCATGATTCGTTTGAACGAACTTCGCATTGCACCCTTTTTAACAGGATCTTCCTTGAACGCCGCCGTCGCCTCCAACGCGAAAGGAAGGCGCCAGAATAGCTTGTATGTACAACGACTCCGTTCGAATTTGACTCACATCAAGGAAATTCTTCAACCGGATGCCATAGATGGCAAAGCTGTGACCACTTGCTGGCCTGCCAATAACTCCGAATACCATGGCACTCCTAAGCGAAGGTTTTGAGATGTGAAGATTTACTCGAACAAAGACTTATCTCTACCACGTGCTATTTTACCACGCTTTTGCTCATGTATACTTGTTGCAACAGGAACGTAACACAAGCAAGTTATTCTATAGTACTAGGAAAAGTAATAAGGAAGTAAAGTATTGGGAACATGTCAACAATAAGATCTCGAATTTTCGGTCGTAAAATCCGTGTTTACAAGTTCATTTGAGGTGAAACTCTGCACACACGACAGAATTCATGTTTATTAGCGCGTTTCCAAAGATGGTTAAGATTGGTGCACGTGGAGAGGAGATGGACACAATTTTGTCCCGAAAATTAGGATGTCTGTCTGGATGGATGGTTGTCACGCGTAATATCATATTAGACGCTTTTGAGCTGAAACGTGGTAAATACCTCAGGAGTAAGATCTAGTTGTGTTGATTCGGAAATCATTAAGATATTTTAATTTTGGGGGTACATTTCACGAAGATCCTGTTACAGTGTCAACATTTTCTGGAAAATAACAAATTCTTTACCTTTTTTGCTCGAAGTACATTTATAAGTACAGTATACGTAATTTGAGTTTTCATAAAAACTTCTGACATTTAGAAAATTGCAATAATCGTTATATTTAAAACCCTAAGCGTTTACGTTCAGAAAGAAGACTGAGCTTTCTATTTAACCATATTTCTCGATTTTTGCTTTAAATCTGAGGTAGAGGACCGTAAATGTTTTGCTGTTATTCATCAATTTTATAAACTAAATACCAAAATTTAATAATATATTGAAATTCATTCCCGCCTGAGATATGACATATTCTGGGGAAATACATCTTAGCTTCGAGACTTTCAGATTACAAAAAAGAATAGTACGAATAATAAGCAAATCCCACCAACGTGACGCTTGTAAGCCTCTATTTATTACCTTTACCTTGTCTCTTGTGACATATGAAGTGATTTTTGTTAAAAATGATTTAAGGGCGGGAATATATTTTCAGCAAACGCTGATATCTATAACTACACACATCAGGTGACAGTATCAAGAGCTCACTACAAAAAATTCACACGCAATACATGTACATTATTTTACAAAACCTTGCCAGATGACACTAAACGATTAAATTCGATACAAAAGTTTAAGTCCCAAGTAGAATCTTTTCTGCTGCACATCAGTTTCTATACAATTAGAGACTATACCGAAAATCAAAAGGAAAGTAATATTAATTTAAACAACGACATTTAGTGTATTATTTACCATTTGGATTGTATAATTCTAAAGAATCTGTAAAAAGTACTATACTTCAGCTTCTGGGTCAATGACCCCCATCTCAATCAGGTTTTCGTCCAGTTTCAGGATCCTCGAGCAAATGCTGATATGGCCCCTTTTTTTGCTTCTGGACATAAATGTAACTTAAATTTAACTTCTCCTCATACCAGGTCACACAGTTTTTAACCGTTTTTTGACGTAAATAAATAAATGTAAATTAATTGTTAGAAAGCAGCGTATCTATAACTGTAGAAATTGTCGCTGCACACGTTAACTGCACCGTTACTGCGTAAGCGGTAGCAAAAACGTAAAAAGAACAAATTTTGAGAAAATTTTGAAAATTCCCCCAGGGAATTTCATGTGAAATTCTTCAAAACTTAAATGAGTCGTTTCAAACTCGGAGATCCTCAAGTTCGGTATTATGGGAATCCCAAAATGTGTTTTTCCGTAAAAATCTATTATCTCTGCGATAATTTTCCAGAGCCGTACACAACTTTGTACTACATACATTAGTACGTACATACTAATATATTACGAAAAAAGAAAAACCGAGAAGAGAAGGTACATGCCCCCCCTCTTGGCACACAAGTACCAGGAATAGGAATACGATTCGAAGAAAGCGAAAGGTGCTCCAAAAAGGTCGTCCGTTCGCACTTTTAGTGTACGGTTAAATCCTAAGAGGTAAAAATGGTAAGTACCACAAACACGGAGGAGCCTCTTTTCTGCAGAAAGCGCAGCCAAGGAAGCCGGTCGGGGCAAAGGAATTCGAGGAACGACCGGGTGGCATTTATCTTCCGAGTACGGCGCGGCGCCGCATCGCACGTTGCTTGAGGACGCCGAGTGCGGCGCGGGCGGAGGCAGGCAGAATTGCAGTCGGAGCCGATCGCTGCGAAGGCACGCGCTCGTCGCCATGTGCTAGCTCACTAGGCGACGACCTTGGCGAACACCGCTCCGCCCGCCCGCCCGCGCCAGCCTCGGCGCGGCACTCGTAGCAGGGAGCGGATGCGATGCGAATGAGTGGATCAGATTGCAAGCGCATTTCCACACAGTGATCCACAAGGGGAAGGGGGCGGGCGACCAGGGAGTGAATTAATGTATGAGCAGACAAAGCACGTGCTTAGAGCTCCAAGTATCTTTTAAATGAATAATTAGGGTATGTTATAAAAGCGAAGAAATATTTTAATAACAAAATTTAACTGTAAAATAATACTTATTTTCAGTTACACTGCGATTTCTTTCAATATTATTAATGCCCCATACAAGTACTTTAGTTTACTAATGCCTCAAATTCTTGAAAGAAAAAAAAAAGTAAATAAACCGATCGTTTTCCCAATACATACTCACGCACAAATGCACACACACGGAAACACGCGAGCGAAAACATACATACTCACACGCACTAACAGCCGGACACACACACAGGCAAACATCTAATACCTACATTAATTTTGCATGATCAGTAAAATACGACTTGAAGTAAATATTTGTATCGAATAATTGTCAAGACGCAAAATTCTCAAGATAAGTGTTATTAAATTACCTTTAGTTTACCCTTAGAAGTGCACCTACTCTATTCCAGGTAATTGATTCTCAGATTACTTACTGGGAAAGATTTAATGAACGTTAATTGACATGGAAACAAATATTTACTTATTACAAAACTGAATATTCTCACGAGAATTGCACCATGTCCTACATTTACAATTATTTCGTAATACAAATAAAACTTACAATTAAAACATGTCTTACATTTGCGCTTATTCCCCTAATCCGTTGCCCCCCCAGTATTTAATGATTTCCAACAGCAATGCTTTATTTCTTGTCACATAAATTAAAACCAGAAACCATGAAAATTTTCATTATTTTTATAAACATGTAGGAGGGCTGTTTTCTACAGCTTGTCATCGAATAAAACGATACATTTCAACAAATTAGCATTACTTTGGAAGAGTTGTCGGTTCCACTTCAATCTCCACTTTGTTACATTACGCCAGTTGACATGATGGTCCTCCCAGAATTGCTTTTAACATTTAGGAAATGGGCATAATCTCCTTCACACTACTTGTACGCTGATAGAAAGCAGAATTTTGACACGTCTTATTCGTTTAATTTTTTGTAATTGATCCAAATAGCATACTACATATGGAATCTTCACAGTTTTAACCGATACTGTATTTCGCCTTTTGTGTGATATCTTCCAATAAAATGCTTCAAGTACTCAAGTTATTAAATGATTTACAACATGCTTCTATAATTAATTGTTTATCGGTCGAAACTTCAATACCAATAACTATTGATTAATATGACATGTAAGGACACTTAAGAATGATGAATAACATTGCATCACCTTTGCAGGGCAGATGGTCATCATCCTTTCTACAGTAAAGCTAATGACAGGGAAAGCTAAGTACAGCTAAGGAAAAAAGATGAGAATTTGTTTTTACCATGTTATTAACCTCATTTTTTAGTCACGTTTGATATTTTTCAGAATAATTTAACTACCTTAATACGCCTCGATAGAATTAAATATATTTTGAAAAGTGTTTCGTTTTGTGCTGTAATTTGTTTATTGATTGATTAGTGATTTCGGGACCGTCAACAGCTAAGGTTTGGTCCCGTAAGCATAGTCCTTGTTTTTTCTCGAAGTGGCGGTGACCTACCCCCCACTGGATGGTGAGATGCGGTGACGACCAACCTGCGGCTTGCGAGTTTTCCCAACCAGGTATCTCCCACCCAACTGGTTTGCATGTGTGGTGTGTGTAAGGGGCGAGGACACGACGGAAGAGAAAGGAAAAATTGAGCGGTCCACGGTCTATTTGTTAAGGTACTGTCCCGGCATTTGCCTGGTGTTGGAATTGTTTAATCCATAGTAAAAAAGAGTAAATCACAAGGTATTTGACGTCAAATAGAGAACACGGCAGAAACATATAATACGATTAAAATGTTTGCTAGCAAATCATCCAGTACACTATTTTTACATTTGCATTACAAAATCTAGTTTTATAACTTATGGAAGCAAACTTCTTATATATTTCATCACGGTTAACTTTTTGGGCTTGGATATTCTCAATTGTGAACAAAGCACAACAGGCGAAGCTTTTGAGATTCACACTACGCGTCACACACAGTTTTACTGTTCTTCGACAAAAATAAATCAAATACTGCATATGTAAAAATTATTCCTCAAAATTACACATAGTGAGAATAAATATATTAAAACATGCCTTACCAAATATAAAAGTAGTGGGAACCCGACAAAAATAGACTGTGACATGACATAAATGTGCACACAAGTGTAAAATATTAATTGTATTAGCATCAGCAACATCGAAAATATACAACTGTCCTTATGTCGCACTGTTTAGATCTTCAAGACATAACGATGATATACTACGATGAGTTCCCAGAAATTTGAACACACATGGCCCATGACCAGATGGCAATGCTATATCAGCACCGAAAGAGACAAGACAGAGCACTATAAAATTACTTTTGAAATCTTCTAATGTGTTATCTCCTACAAACAATACTTTCCATATTGCTAAATGACCAGGAACTCAAACTAAGAAACAAACAACAAATTAATCTAGAATCACAAAATAAATCAATCAGAATGTTGCAAAATTTGCTATCTGTTAAGAGATTCCCGTTTTAAAAAAAATGCTCAAATTAATTTCTACTGATGTAACGGATACTAACAATATTCTGATTTAGATATGTTTAAAAC